GAAATTTTCATGTCTTTTTGCGGTGAAAAACATATTGATTTGGAAATTCTTGCAAATCAAATAATTGTCGGAGTTTAATGAAAATTTCATGAATTAAATTATTTTATAAACGTTTGTTTTGTTAGAAAACTTTGGTAAAAACGTTTTTTACAACTTTTACACCCCCACTAATTTTTAATTTTACGAAATTTCGAGAAATTCATTTTTGTAGTGCTTAATGTTTATATTAGTTACAGGCACAAGTCCTTGGTGAACTTAAATTATCAATCTTTTTGACAAAGCAGGGCCACCAGTAGGATAAAAATGTAATAAAACTAAGACATTATTTTTTTTAAAAAAAGTCGATTTTAATTGCTTTACGTTATATTGTGGATACTATTGTCTTAAGAAAAAGATTTTTCGACGAATAATGAATTTTTGCAAGAATTGTTTACATTTAAAAAAATAATTAGAATGATTCATGAAGTTTTAAATCTTTTAAAATTCTGTATTAATTTGTAGCGGTTCGGTGATATTGTTATTAAGTAGAAACTGTATTTATTAATCATAAACAGAAAAGCTTACTACAATTCAGCGATCGCCAGTATTTTAAAATTAATTCTGAATTTCTTTATGTGTATAAATGTGCCGACTTTGATAAATACGGACGTCTATACTCGGCATTATCATAAAATATGAGGGCTAACTATAGTAAATTTAAAGCCAAATGACATAAATTCAATAAAATATTAGATTACTGAGAATATTTTCCCAAATTTTATAAATTTCTAAGTAGTTCAAATAACAGAAAATTATATAAATAGGCGCTCACGTTATATTCTTCAAGTAAGTTTTACAGATATGTCCTCTGTAGAAAAAATCCCAAATATGTCTTTCGAGTTGTCAACATCTCATAAAAACACACACCTCCGTGTTATAAAATGCTTTTCTGCGACATTTTGAACAAAAAGTAAGATTCAAATCAGATTAGTTAAACTTTAAATCAGCTAACCTTCCTCAAATATTCAGAGATGTATAGTTTATTTTTGTAAGATATATATATATATATATATATAATTACTTATTTAAAAAATTATAACATAAATATGTTATAAAATCACTACAAAAATAGCCATTTTGTTTCAACACCTCCAGTGTTTTATCAAGTGATGATGTTGAATGTAAAATGAAGGGTTTTAAAAGTTAATTTGAAACTTTTAAAACCATTTATTTTACATTCAACATCATCACTTGATAAGACACCGGAGGTGTTGAAACAAAATGGCTATTTTTGTAGTGACTTTATAACATATTTATGTTATAATTTTTAAATAAATAATTATATCTGCTCTACTCTGTATTGAGCACACTTTTAAGAATAGTAATTGTTGGTTATTGGAATTCATTCCGTATACACCAATTATATACTTGGGTATTATATATATATAATGCTGTCAAAATCATAAAGCAGGCACAAAAATCTATATTTTTCGATAATGGCTACCTGTGGACCAAAAAAAAAAAAAAAAAACCCCAGAATTTAACATTGCTATGGGAGCCTATGATTCTGCAGAGATATGTGAACTTGTTGGAATGTTGTTATTGTAGCGACTCAGATTTATTTTCGACATTAACGACAACGGACTCTATAGAGGTGACGGTGTAATTCTCTTGTGTAAAACAAGTCCAAGAAATACAGACCGATTAAGGAATTGATAAAATTTTTCAAAGATCACCAGCTAAATATTACCACAACCACCAATATTAAAGTGATCAACTTTTTCGATGTGACCTTGGACTTGAATACTGGTTATTATTATTACTACAAACTATGTACCAAACGGCTATATAATCATATATACATCAGTAAAGAATCAAACCACCCTCATAACATTCTAGATAATTTATATAAATCAGTCCAAGATTATCTACTAACTTCAGCAAGAAGTAAATATTTGATAACAATAAAATTAAATACATACAGGCTTTAGAACTAAGCAAGCATAAAGTTATTTAGAAAAAGAAGGTAAAAATAAATAAAAACAACATATAAAATCCTTGCTGCTTGATGGTACAGCACACTCGGATAGAAACTGGTTTCTCTGATTAAATAGAGAATACACATTTGGTTCATTTTGATAGGTGCATTTACTTTTGTAAGGGTTTCGATATCTACATTGGTAGATAATATAGTTCCGGTATTGAGGAATGTCTAAAACACGTGTACTCAATAAATATAACGTATATATATTGTTGAAACTTGACTAATGCATGGAATAATAATGCAACATAAAATGTACTTAGAACAAAATGTATTGAAACAAGAAAGTGTACACAATATTTACATATAGTCTTTTGTATATTCCTGGTAAGACCGTTCCTGGAGAATGTGTTGACTGAGTCGCAGTCGGGCAAGTCTCTGGTTGAATCTCTTGATTCTTCCCGGTACCAACCATATTTATATGGTCGGTACTCCACTATGCAAATTAGGTGGATCCTACCACAACACATATATATATATATATATATATATATATATATATATATATATATATATATATATATATATATATATGAATGAAAATATCAATAAGAACACCGGATTATATATCTTACTGTTCATTCTTTTTTTTATATATATATATATATATATATATATATATATATATATATATTTGGGTAGCAACTTTTCTTTCAAGCATGTTTCGTTGAATAAAACAGGCAACGAATATTTGACGAATTTTTTAATTAGTTTTTCTCACATTCTTACTTTTTCCTGTTTAGTGAGATTAAGGGAGTGTAAAAATTCTCCGCGCTGTTTATTACGCTTTTGGACCCTTCTTTAGCCATTTTCAAGGGGGTTTTCTTGTTAAGTGTTCTTAATTTATTTTCATGTTTAGCTATTTAAGATGTAGTTTTCGTGGTCTCTAAATAGTAGTAGCGTTTATTCCAAGCCTCATGAAGTGAGCGTAACTGGAATTCGAGTTGGCGTCGTTCTATTAAAAAACCCGTTAAAACGCTATTTCCAGTACTGATTTATACTGGATGCCAGATGTTTTATGTAAAAAGCCTCTCTTATGGCGAGGTATTTTCGGTAACGTGACCTATATAGGATGCTAATGTTATCAACCAGAATCAACCTTATACGTTGTTGTATATTATGGATGGCTAAGTGCGTTTTTATGGCACTTTGGTCAGATAAGTGACACATGTGGCGTCTACTGAATGAGGTAGTGGTATGACCGATATTGTTAATCGATCTATGACAAGAAACACGTTTCAATGTTTTTCGGGATTTACGGCAGAAATATGGTGTTAATGATTCGTTGTATTTCTAATTCGCCTTGCTTGTAATTATTGTGCATCTGTCTGCTGTAAACGGAAAGCGTTTCCGTAATAAACTACATAAATAGGTATTTAAGCACCTCCCTCATAGCACTAAAATGGAAAACAGGTTGTGCTACTGCAAAAATGTCTCCGGTTAGTTCAACTCCTTTGACTTCTCACGGAAGCACTCAAATTGGTGACTTTTCATAGATACTTCTAAGCAAAGTTTGAAGGCTGCATTCCTGCACAATGGGAATAAATGTTCCAACATTCCCCTTACTCACTTAGCTAATCTGTAAGAGTCGTATGACAGTAGGAACCTCCTTTTAGTAGATGTCAAGTACAAGCAGATCTCAAGGTCATTGGCTCCTTATGGGCATGTAGATGGGCTCCACGAAGCAGTGTTGCTTTCTCTGTCTCTGAGACAGTCAGGCTGTGTCCAAGAACTGCAAGCAGAATGACTGGCGGTCTAGGAACACTTTCTTACCTGGGGATCACATTCTCAAAAAAAAAAAAAAAAAAATCTCTGATAGACTCGAACAAGGTATTTCTTCCACTCTTTATATCAAGCTTAGTCTAAAGAATTATGTGAAGACCATGGACAAGAATAACGCAGCCTTCCAAAACCTGTGTACTCTTTTGCAAGTTCTTAGTTCTGCGCAGCTGGAGGTAAGTCGAACCTCGGTGCTGAATGATACGGAATTTGAGCAGATTCTTACTCTTAAGAAACTGAGAAGAGGACATTGGAAGGATTTAATTCAGTTTACCATAGATTCCTTGGTAGCATATGGACATAGGATTACCAAGAGAGTTTTGAGAAGCTGTTCCAGGCTTATGAGGATGTATTGGGGTATTGAATGTCACTCAGGATTCACTTTATCCACAACTTCTTCCCTCAGTGAGTGATGAGCGCGGAGAAAGGTTCTATCAAGATATTATGAAGACGGCGAACAACTATCAAGCCAAGTGGAGCTCCATGATGGGGGGGGGGGCGGACTACTGGTGGATGTTCATGTGTGACATCCCGGGTGTAAAGTACACGAGATCTGTTAAAAAAACTCACTTCTGGCTGCTCTACATATTTTATTATACAAATAATAGTTGCATTTAGTTTTGTCAGTGTTCTGTATCTATATTACGTTTTTTTGTGTAATATGCCTTTTTTTCCAACATTGTATGAAACAAATAAATTGTTTTATGAAATATACTAAACAATTATAGTAAAAGGTGATGCATGAGAGCAAAAAACAAAAAAACAAAAACAAAAAACAAAACATAACTAGACGCGATAGAGTAAAACTGTTAAATTTTAATTCCCCACATCAAAATTAGTAAAAAAACAAAAAAAAATGGCTTCCACATTCTTGTCTTAGAGCATAATTTGTTTTAAACCAGTATAATGCGACGCAGGGAATAGATACATATGAATGATATATTTAACATATTGCAACATATTTTACGAGGTATTAACAGAAGGTGAACATATTTTTAAACACAGAACTTTGGGATTACGATACTACTGTCTTTAAGATATAAATTTGATGCCCACAGAAAAACAGATACATAGAAAATAAATATGAATTTATAATAATAATGAACTGATGCAATCTAAAAGTGTAGGGAATCCAGTGAGTAACAATCATAATACAGTAGTTAGGATTGACGTATAAAATATATTTATCGTTTGCCTCAGGTCATATTAAGTTACACAGAAATAAATAGATAGAAAAACAGCTGAAAAGGGAGGGAAAGAAAAAGAGAGTGAGAAATAGAGATATAAAGAATGGGTGACAAAAATGAAAGAAAGAGAGAGAGAGAGAGAGAGAGAGAGAGAGAGAGAGAGAGAGAGAGAGGTGTTGCGTCAAACCTTTATATGCCTAGATAAAATTCTGAAAATTTCAAAATGTCAGTTTCTCATCGAAATAGAAAAATAAGGAGAACTACTGACAAAAAATTAAAAAAAAAAAAAAATAAATTCGGAGGCCATAACAGATCCGTCCAAATTTCTACGTACATGCAGAATTCATTGAAACAAAATTTAAAAAGATGACAAAAAACTTATATCTATGAATGATTATAGAAACAAAAATGTGTTTATACATATGTAAATCCAAGAAGCACCACACACACACACACACACACACACACACACACACACACACACACACATAAAGTTACACACGCAGACATTTAAATATTGTGGGTAAATATCACGTTTTTTAACTTGATATTTTTGTTAAAGTAATATTCGACTTGGTAACTTGCCTAATTTATTGATGAATTGAACGCATTGGCAATAAATTCAATTTTCCTAATTAAGCTAAGGATTATTGATGTACCTATATATATATATATATATATATATATATATATATATATATATATATATATATATATATATATATATATATACAGTTCTAAAAAACAGTTCGATAATAAATCCTTTCCTTACTTGATCAATAGATTCATATATTTCTCCTCCAAGCTTGAAGTCTTCCATGTTATAAAAGTAAATTCAGGTTTGTATTTCCAGTAGACAGTATGTAAGCAAATATATGGATATAGATCCGACAGTATGAAGTTTTTTAGAACTGTTCCATCGTTTTTTAAATCATTTTTGATTTGTTTTGTAACGGGGAGGACTTCAAGCTTGTATGAAGATATAAGAACCTATTAATCTCTACGTATTTCTATATTCAACGGAAGGGATTTCTTGAACTGTTTATATAAAATAGTTCAATCGACTTTTTTAATATTTTAATATTTGGAAATCATCTTCGAATACGTTTTCACAACATCACCCACGTGACGACAACGTGATCATATTTAAACGGAACGCTGATCTTATATAAAAATTTCAGTTATCTGTTTGGATTAGTTGTGCTGTTATGTCCATCGTCTTTTGTGTTAAATTTTTTATATGTTCTAATGATAATTATGTTTAAATGAAAATGTCCATGAAGATGGTCTTAAATAGACCGAAACGTCCGACGTCGACTTTATATTAACATTAATACAGCATAATTGCATGTTAAAATTTTTGTTTGTTTTTTTCTTATTTTTCTTCATACTGTCGGATCCATATCCATATATTTGCTTATATATATATATATATATCCATATATTTTGCTTATATATATATATATATATATATATATATATATATATATATATATATATATATATATATATATATATAGAGAGAGAGAGAGATAGAGAGGAACTTCGGTTCACGAATTTCATTCGTTCCTGAAGGCAGTTCGTAACGCGAAATGTTCACAAACCGAAACTATTTTTCCAGTAGAAATAAATGTAAAGAAAAAAGTCACAGTACGATAAAATTTGGAAAAAAAAGCACGGTACAACATATGGATGAATACAACACGACGATCGACGCAGAATTTATTCCTTTCCCTTTGTGTTAACTCGGTTCGGCTATGTTCGAGAACCGAAATTTTCATCTCAAATTTTCTGTTCGAAAACCGATTTGTTCGATATATGGGACCTTCGAGAACCGAGGTTCTTCTATATATATATATATATATATATATATATATATATATATATATTCAAGCATGTTTGTTTAAATAATTTAGACGTATTATGTCTATTTATTTTAGTTTTAATCCTTTCAAGTCCACGAATTAATTTCTTAGTGGCTGTAGAAAATTGATTAAGAAAAATTTCAAAATTTTCTTTCAGATAACTTTTATCTTCGCAAGTCCTTTCAATTGCATCTGACTGCCTTGAATATACGCTCTTTTAGCGCTAGAGGGCGTCGTCAGTGATGTTCTGATTTGGATCAATGGGCAGTTTCGGCTCTTTCAAACATCATACTGACCTCACCAAGTCGACCCCATCAGAGCTGATCGGACTCTAATACGCCCTCTAAAAAATGCTTGTAGACACTGACTTCTATAAATATACCCCGTTATCACGCATTTGATTGGAGGTTGACCAATAGCCAATCACAATGATGTGAACTTTATTTAAGTTGTATACGGGGAATTTTTCCCTTTTTTTTTTTTGAGTGGACACCCCTTCATCGGATACTTTAGAAGGTAATTATGTTTTCCGTTTTTACCCACTTCCCATCAAGTTTCATTTCACCAGCTAATAATTACTATTTACAGAGATAATAACCATTTTTAGGGGGGTTATATCTATAGATGCGTTATGCGTTAACACAGTAAATTCAAAATATTTTTTTACCTCTATGCACGGGTGGTAACAAGTGAATATTTAAAATAGTTTTAATTGTAGTATTTAAATTTGGTAATTTTATATAACATTTTGTTGCTACAAGCATTTAAAAATTTTGTTGCTATACACAGTTGACTTTATTTATTTTGGGCCGCAATTCACTTATATAAAGTACTTTCAGAATGTTAAGTTCTTGCGTATTATTATTTTTATGAAGCAGTGATGTATTTTCGACTACTATCTGTCAAAACAATGAATGTAGACATGAGTGTTCCTTTAAATGTTCTGAGATTTAACTATGATCGTTCAAGTCAAACGTAAGCCTTCTCGTCGTTGGTGTAAAAGCAACATACGTATTAACATTTTTATCAGAGATGCAATCTCCCAAAGGGCATTTAAATTGATATACGATGTTATCTTTTATAAGACGCTAGTAGACGGAAAAGAGTTGTTATGGATAACTAGGTTGGGTTTATTAAATTTAATATAGTATATAATTAAATTTAAAATTATTAAATTTAGTATATTATATAATTAATACAACCAACCTAGTTAAAAAGTAGAAACTTGAAAATATCAAAAAACTTAAAATATCAAAAAAATTGTAAATTAAGTCCCTTGTAGAGTTGATGCAATTTCCGCGAAACTCAAAGATAAGTGAACATTTATTTTTTTATTACTACTGGATGACTCTCTCTCTCTCTCTCTCTCTCTCTTGATATCGTACACGGTACTTACATGGACTGCTCGCCTTAAAAACGTTATCTCCCAGAATGACCTATTTGATCGATTTTTGGGCAAAATACAATCTTTGCTGTTGTTACACACACACACACACACACACACACACACACACACACACGTATATTTATATATATATATATATATATTTATATATATAGTCATCCACAGATATCACAGCACATCAGTGTGGCTAGACATGCGATTGTTTCAAGCCGGAATCGAAACCCGACTGGTTTGACATCAGTTGGACTCTCTCACCCTTATCAGCGCACGCAGCGGAGAAGAGGAATTTTTAAAGCATTATATACGAGATATACGCGTTACCGGTTAGCAGAGTTCTCAATTCATAGCGAAGAGCTTTTGGCGTTAATTAATAGCAGCCGACAATTTTCCTTTCTTCCAAAGTGTTCAACCTACGATGGTGGGTGTTACGAAATTGCAACATATGGAGATATGAACCCTAGATTCAAAAATGAAGAAAAAGAATAGCACAGATAGGAACATACGAACAGGTACCGACGAATAACAAACACAAGATGAATGTTTGTAAATAATTTTATATAACAAAAAACAACAAAATATGGGAAGAGTATAAGATAACATATGTAAATTCTAAAGAAAATTTGCTCTGTTCAGTGAAAATAAACATTGAGCGCTCGTTTGTGAGTCAGTTTTAACATATTTCAAATTCTATGTTGTGTTAATAGGACTTGCTTGGATTATACCAACGGATTAATATATATATTTATATATATATATATATATATATATATATATATATATATATATATATATATTGTTGTGATTCCGTGAATGGAATCCTGCACAAATAAATAAACAACGCCAGTAATTGAGATAGAAAAATAAGTGTATTAAACGTAAGAATACAGACTTGAAGTGAAGATTAGTAGTCCAGGAATGCGTGTGAGTAGGAAGTATATGTACAAGTCTCTGTAAGTAAAGCCGTAATCATCTCTCTCTCTCTCTGGACTCTTGTATAACTATCTGAGGGCACTCTGTTTGTGTCTGTCTCCGTATCTCTCAACCTGCCTCAAGGAATCTCAACGTATCTCCACGTATCTCAGTATTTAATATTTCACCCACGAGGAATATATGTGGCACAAAGCCGAGTTTAAAGTGGGTTTCTCCGAGCCCGTAGGCTCGGCCAAAAATATCCCTTTTGAACCCGCCTAGACGGGTTCAGGGCCTGTCTACCTCCCCGGACGAAACCCTGCCCTTCGGCAAAGCTTCGTCCGGGTTCCTCTCTGCCAAAGCAGAGAGTTCGACAGACGCCGAGACTGTACCTGGACGTAACTCAACCATCAGGTATTCTCTCTGCCAGTATAAGTATACTTTGGACGAGTCCATCTTATATAAAAACCCAGGAAAATACATATATATATATATATATATATATATATATATATATATATATATATATATATATACAAACATGTGTGTAGGCGTTTTGACAGCAATTTTTATGTAATATTCACCATTGATAGAAGTATGTAACAAAGAAGGGAGATAATACTGAAAAATATATATTTGTTGAATCATATTTTTTCACTTTTACGTTGCGGACTATGTATACTTAAATAGATAGATACAGATTTTAAACAAATACACAGACACATACACACACACACCCATACATACATACGTACATAATCCAACGCGTAGTATAAGGTCTTTCAGAGACTGGTAATTTGAAATCAACCTCTACGTATTCATAAGAAAATCAATTTAAGCATAAAATAATTTAATTTCTTTTTAATGGGAAAATATATATTCAAGATAAATCCTTGCCAGAAATTCGGCGAAAGTCTTTTGAAAAATTGGATCTTATCTTCTGGGAACGTCAGGCGAAGCCAACATTTACTATGGACTGTTTAGAAAGAGTTTGAAGTAAATTAACACAGCTCATTAC